TTGGAGACTAACTTAACTCTTGCTTTCCTGATTTTGATAAGCTTTGCAGATGTTCTATCAGCTTCCAACATCTTCCAAGAAATAGATATATTGAGTATGACTTGAAAATGCATTTTTTACACTGAAAATTATCAAGATGTTTATGTCTACAGGCAAATTAGGTGTCCCGTGTCCTGTACAAACCAAGTCTCCTACAAAACCAATGAGTCTAGTAAGTGTCTCAGCTTACTCTGGAGTTGAGACTTACTCCTTGGGCTCTCCACTGACTCTGAAGAGAGCTCAGATAGCTGTCTCTGAAATAATAACACCTATAAGCTGATAACTAGAACTGGTCATCCACAGTTGCAAACTGAACACCTCCCTGACTCTCCTCTTATTGCTCCTGCTTTTGTAGGAGTTAATTAATGGTGCTCTACACAAGTTCTTGGGGTACTATTTTGCAAAGTAGGGTACATTGTGGAATTTCTAAATCCTGGTTTCTGATTTCTAAATTCTTCCCATCCCTGGACACTTATTTATGAAGCAAAGAAGGTGAAAACATCTTTTCCTTTCTCTTTGCCATGATTCTGTTACAGCACATAATCTTTTCTACCATCCTTCCTTTCTCTTTATATCATTATAATTTCAAAACTACTAGGACATAAAGAGTTGTTTTTCCTTGTCTGCTTTCAGACTTGTGTGTTCCAAGTAGCAGTTTAAAGGGCAGCTGAAAACACAATGATATTCTAGTCTGAACACCAAGCAGGCCCCTTTTTGTCAAGCATCGAAGCCTGGCCCCCCATCCCTCTGCATTCCTGGAGGGCCTCACTGCTTCCTCCATTGTTTTTGTGCTATCTCTTTTTAACTTCTTCCTTCATCTCACTTCCACACTTCCCTTTATGAGTACCCCAACCTTTTGAATCCCCTACCCCTTAAAATCCTTCCCCTGTAGCCAGCATTTGCTGACACAATTCTTTTTCTTCAGTATGGCCCCTTTGTGAACTTCTTCCTGCAGAGAACATTTCTGTAAAATAATATTTGTTAAAAGCTTCAACCAGCTGACAGATTGCAGCACGTAGCTTCTTTCTCTGGAGATTTTTACAGACAGTCGTGCTCAAGTGCCTGGGGCTGGGCAAGGCTGGCTCAATGACTGCAGTACATACGCAAGAACTGCCCAGTTCATATAAATCAGGCAGGGCTAAAAGGTTTCTGGAGAGGAAGGGTAAGTCCACAGAGGCAAATGCCTACAGGTGCCTTTTTTATTTGGGTCTGAAAGCTTTGTACTTTGTCTGATATGTTCTGCTGCTTAGGAAAGCCAGACATTGTATCAGCTTGGCTATCTGACGTCTACTAAAGGAAGGGGTTTCAGCAAAATAAAATAAATCAGTCTACACAATGAATAAAAAAATACGTTCATATTAGTATTAGTTTTATTTCAGATTCTTTCTGTATCACCCAGCTGTCCTGTTGTTCATCTCTAGCTCTTGCTTTCCTTGTTGGGCATTCAATCAGATTTTCCGTTCTGAAATTTCTCTGCTTTTGGATGGTGTTGTTTTTTGTCAAAAACATAAGGAGGTCTAGCAACCACTCTTCTGAGATGTAAGCTAGCACTCAATTAAAATTCTTTAAACTTCAGTGCACCAGACTCTCTAATGGCCTCACAGTTTGAATACAGAAGCAGTTAAGATACCAGGCACCTGGGACCCGGTGTCAGATCTGTTCAAAGGTGATGGAGAAAAAGTGATGTTAGAATATCCAAAATTGCAATCCTTACCTACCCCCAAGCCTGCTAATCATTCCCGATTTCCTTTTTTCCACAGCTCCTGTCTTCATTAGTGGTTAGAAAGATCAGACCACAGGTCATCAACTTAACGTGAAGAAAATGTCAGCATTACACAAGCAGAGCATTTAATAGCTAAATGGCTTTTCTTGAGTAACAACTCATACTTGTAAATTAATCATGCTGCAACAGTCTAGTGTCACTCTAGGCTAACTCAACATACTAATTTAACTCATTTTCCGTGTTCTGAATGTGGAAACATTAAATCTAGGTCAATATTTTCAGTAAATTCAATAAATTATTCACCAAGTCAATTATTTTCTTGAGATCTTTGGTACCACAAATTTTCTACCTCGTGCCATGGCACCATTTTAGCATTCAAGGAAAGAAACATTTTTACCTGCAAAGGAACTGTGCAGACATGCATCTTAATTCAGAATTTAACATCTCTAGGTATAGCATAGCAGGAGGTAAGCAAATTTCATCTCACCGCACATTTGATTATCTTCAGACTGAGAACTACTTGTGTCTATAGCAGCTTATTCACAAAGTCGAGAAAGTGAAAATCCTACATTAACGCCATAAAATCTGTATATTCCTAGAAGCAAGTTGTTAAGCAGTTTGTCTAGCATTGGCTGAAACTGTAATATAGATTCAGATCACTTGCCTAATTTTGTAAATCAAAATGTGCTCATTATAATTTAGCAAATTTATTTATTTGTTTATTTATTTATTTATTTCCTTTTTTATTTTTGCCGCTTGCATGTAGGATTATCAAAATCACACCAAGGCAAAAATTGCAAGTAAATGTTAGAAGTAAAAGCTAGATAATAATTTCATGTCTTTGTTAGATTTATTGTTTTTTGACAGAAGTAAACTGTACGAAAATGTTGAATGATATAAATGGACATCTGACATGCAAAGTTGAGTAAGCAGTTCCAAATATAAAAGCTGGGCAGATGAGAGAAATGAAGAATACAAGCAGGACACAAAGAGACAATTTGGAGGACACACTGGGAGGCCTGCCAACACAGGGAAGGGCAGATTTAGACATTGTCATAAAATATTCACAGGGCTCAACCACAGTAGATCAAAAGTTAAAAGGAAATCGTCCAGTAAAATCCCTTCAAAACTGACATGCTCAACATGCTGTTGTTTACAATGCCAATCCCAGCAGCCTGCACTGGTAATGAATGGCTTGAACTGAGATGCTGCTGTAGAAGTTTCTGCTGTATTGGCCAGCTGATGTTCATTGCCTGTGGCAGGTGCTGTTGAAATTGGCAAAGGCATCCCGCTCTGCCTGTCAAATTTACCTTCCTTTCCCCCTTAAGTGCTCCTTTTGCTTGTCATCACTGTCACGGGCATCCTCAGAAACAGGGCTTTTTCCTCAGTTGCACTTATAGTGAAAACTTGAGTATCAGGCATGCAGGATCACGCAATCAGAACCTCTGCTCCCACTGACATCCAAAAATTAACCTTTTCCTTTTTTGTAGCCTTGATCAGCTAGTGATAGGAGGAGTAAACTGTTAGTGCTACTTCACTAAGTTTGTATTTGAAATGTTTAGCACACCATTAATTAACATTATAATTATTAATAGATTTTTTTAAAGGCATTGGTGTCATGATTTTTTTTATTTATTTTCACAGATTTAGTTCTGATTACTAAGAAAACACCAGAAAGGAGAAACTGTTCTCACAGCGTCATACTTGGATGTGTTTAGTCATAAATTTTTATCTTTGACTTGAGCAAACCATTCTGAAGAGCCCTGCTTTTAATGGGTTTTCCAGTTATATTGACTAATGTACAGAGAAAAGAGGTCAAGTAACAACGATGTCCAAATAAAATTAGACACTACTAAAATCAGAATTTATGGCTTTCTTAGCTCTGTCTTCTTCTCCAGCCATTTACTCCCAAGCCATTCAGGGTTTTTCTAATTACATAGTATTTTTCACAGTAAATGCAAGCATTGTGCTTTGTTGGCATATCTTACATTTCTCTTAGAAGCTGCTAATTAGACCATATTTTTCATGTACAGGATGAATATCTGATCCCAGATACATGGTGTTGAATGTTATGGTGATTATCAGCAGTTCAATGTACAATTATGCATTTTGGGTTTGAACTTCACTGGTAACAAGATTAATGATGTACAATGTTTTCCATTAACCCAGTGAGGTTCTGGGACAGTAAACCATTAACTCAGAGGTATTTCCTTTCTGAAGAACTAAGACAATGAATATACAGACTGATCCTAGTGCGGCCTCATTCTTGACAGTCACCCAAGTGCTTCCATAATGCACCTATTAATCTCTGAAACAAGTCATCAGATGCATCACATCATAGCAATTTTTTTCTGAAACATGGACACATCATGAGCAACATGGCAAGTACTTAATAGAGTTTCAAATACATTTGCAAAGCAGGCTGTTAGAAGAAGTTTGCTGCATTTAAATGGCATATAAGGTTGAGTTTATTCTAAGCTCTATATTATGTTTGAAATTTTGGAATACAAAACAACAGAAGAACAAATAGAAGATAGCTCTGGTATCTATTTTTAGCTGGAAGAAGTACTTAAACACATTGCATCTTTCATGACATGGCCATTTCCTGTTGCAGAACACTCCCATCAATAGAGAGAGAGATACTGGGAAAGCCAGGGATGAGAAATTAAATCCATGAAACACTTATCTTTGAGAGCAGGACAGGAAGTGGTGAGAACAGACATTTATTCTTATTCTGAGTGTCTCAGGTCTAGGGAAATGAGTTGTATTGACAAGCAGTGAGCCATTGATCCATTTTCTTCATAGAAGTATGGAAAAAGTATCCCTCAGGAAGTAAATAAATTGTTGAATGCAAAGCTTTATCCTTAGCTGGGGCAAAAGCTCTGTTGTTGCACCTGACCACGTAAACTACTGTAAAAATTATTAATTTAAATATGTAATGGAAAAGAAATAGTCAAGGAATGAGAGCTAATCAACTCCATTTTCCAAATAGCCCCTTTTACTTTATCTTTGTGGTGCCTGAGTTGGTGTTATTACCGAAGACAGTATATGGTCTCCTAATTGCACAGACTCATTAAAATGAGTCCTGCAAGTATTTGCTGAATACTTCATCCTTTAGAAACATAAAAAAGCTATTGGCATGGTTTCCTGATGGCATAACTTGCATCTAAATATCTCTCTTTATGTGTTTTTCTTGCCATTACTTGAATCCCCTATAGAACGCTACTATCCTGAAGTGTTTCTTACTCAAGGAGCTCAAATGTGGGCCTGCTAATGACAAGTTTATGTCCAAAAGAGGGGATATCAAGACCCAACCTGCTCCCTAGTGTTGTGAGATTGCACAAGGACTCTACTGAGGGAGACAGACTACTGCACTTGATGTTTCCCTGAGAACCAGGGAAAGGTGAATACCAAACTGCACCACTGACTCTCCCTCACCTCCTCTTGGAACTGAATTGCACCCCTTCCTCCAGGTAGTTGAGAAGGGGCTGTGCTAGTTCTGTTACCACATCCTGGGGTCCCACTAGCATCTCATTAATCTTATTTGTAGTCTTGGTATTTTTCTATGTGATTTCACATCTGTCCAAGCAATGCAGGATTCAGAATTTGGCATGGGGGTTGTTTCTTCCTCAAAAAAGTGTATAATGTTTCTGCTTGAGCCTTCCTTTAGTACAGAAAAAATAGTGGGAAAGTAACAAGAAACAGGCAAAGAAAAACATACCCTGGAGAGAGAGATAGGGGAAGAGCAGAGGAGGAAAGGGAAATGTCAATATAATCAGTGCTGCAAAGATGGAGCTGTTCCAAGCCTGTATCAGGGCAATTGGTCATTCAGCTTGATCTTGGATCTGTCAGGAGCACAGAACATAACCCATTGTTCACAGAGAATACACTATTCCTTCTCCATTGATTGCATTTTTAGAACAGTCAGCATTTTCCTTGAGAAAACTTTTACAGATGCTCTTGGGTATTGAAGAATACGAGACTTGCCAAAAGAGGAGCCTTAGGTTTCTTGCTATTCCTAGCCTCTGACTCCTCAGAGCAACAGCTGTCATCTTTCAAATCGGGGTTTTTTTGTCAGAATGTGACTTTTTGGTTAAGTTTTTTTCCCCTTCTGTACATTCTCTTTTACATTTTTCTCCTTCTTATTGTAACAAAAAGTTTTCTCTTGTTTCAGCACAGCTTCCTTTATATTTCACTTTCTATTTCAGCAGTGTGTTGTATTTAATAGGAGACATTTCCAAAAGGGCTGAGGGTCAGACTTTCAAGTTTGCAGCACTTAACAGCTGCATATGTTTGAACTGAACATCCATTCAGACAGCTATAAAGGTTGCCTGTTTCACGGCATTTAAGCAGACTAAGCATGGCCATGCAACACAATGCATTGCTGACTTACAGAATCCCGAAGAACATCCTGGTGAGCAGGACCAGTCATTAAAGCTGAAAATCGTGATTTCTGTGGCAGTGTCTGGGCAACATGACCTTGCCCTTCCAAAAGCAATTCAGGTTAGTATTGCACTGGCTCAGTGGCATTGTCCCTTCCAAGTGGGGAGCTTGAATTATGTCTCGATTTAAGGCTGAGGTGGAAGAGGCACTTTTCCTTCTCAGCTTGATGATCATTTTGAGACAATGTAACTTTTGTAACAGCATTCACTTTCCAGTCTTGGAAGTTGCACAGCAGCTTTGTCTTTAAACACGCCTGATCAGCAGTTCAAGCACAATCTCTCTTATATATGACTGTAGTATCTGTTAAGGTCACTGTACTTCACCAGCAGCCTAACTCTTAATGCCCCATTCATAGTTCTTGACCACTTTAATTATTATTTTGCTTAAGACTGAAAGTAAAAGATTCTATTGCCAGATCAGGATCAAAGTCATTACCTCTAAAACAGAAAGAGATTTTGGGTCCCAAATTCAATGCCTGAATTAAGTTCAGCTTCAGGGAGTTTTCTTTGCCATTCCTTGAAAAGTACGGCAACTATTTTGTATGTTTTGTAGTGGACTCTGTCCCTGACAGAGTTATTATCACATATTCTGAAGTACTTCTCTGCATTTTTGCAGCTACTCATGTAAAATGATCAATTTATTTTGCATAATATGTCCACAAATACAAGCAAAACCTAAACATTTTATAAATCATCTGACATTCCAACAGTATGCCGTTTACTGGCTTCAGATGACTCATTGTCATATTCATTTCTTAGCTTGTTCATCTATTAAATGTAACATGCTCTACAACAAGTGACCCATTTAATTTTCAATTCTAATTGTGATTTTTTGGAGCCTCCTAATCCATTTTTTTTCTAATCTGAGCATCAAAGGTTAATATTTTAAAATTAGACATCTAAACAGAAGTGGGTCATAGTGACTGCTAAATAAGCAAAGCAATTACAATTGTGTAGCATTTAGCATTTCTTCTACTAACTTTCCATAAATAAAAACTTTCCTCAAAGGTTTCAACAGTTTAATTCTGAGCTAACACTAGCTATAAAAGTTATTCCCAAATTCAAATAATTCTGTAGTTATGAGTAGCAAGACAATTATCATAGACCTCTATAGAAATGTAAATTTTTTAGATACTTCACTGAAATTATAACACTTTCTAATTACACACAGACACAGAACAAAAGCCCAAAGGACATTCTTATATCTGATATTCTTGCTGATTATTGCATCTTGATTAGCACATATTGATGGAATGTGATCACTGATGTCATTACAAAGTATACACTTTAATACTGTTCAAGATTGTTCATGTCTGGCAAGCTCTACAACAGCTTTAATATTTTATAGTAATAGTATTGCATTGATTTCTTCTAGGTACTTTTTTCCTTCTTATTGAGCTTGTAGATCTACTACAGGTTCTTTGCTATTTGTGTATAATGCCTTTAAGGATCAGTGTGCCTTTCCTCTCATTTTACACATTTTTCAGCTCTTCCCCCTCTCTTTCAAGAAAGCCAGTGTAAATAAATGGTTTCTGAGGCCATAAAGCCTGTGTGAAATGTCTGAATGACAAAGTAATGAACATTGTTTGTGGCTGGAGTCAACACAAGTATTTATTGCTAAGCAACAAAGACTGATGTCAGTGAGTTTTGCCAAATGCAGATGGTGAGTAGGTTTGTTGAAAAAAAAATAAAAATCAAATCACTCTAACATAACTCTTTACAGTGGATTCTAATATAATAGAAATAAAATGCACTCAACTGGTCAGAGTGAAGGGCTCCACAGAGAGGAATAAGGTTAATTTAATAAGAGTATCTGCTGCCTTGGCCTATATTTTAGGGAGTCACTCATATGTAAGAGTATTCCTAATCTTTCTCAGCAAGACTTAAGGAAAGAAAGATATCTGCAAAGTTTTCCAGAAGCGCCTGCCTGCTCAAAAGCTGCTGTTCAGAGTGTTATTGCAAACAAAGGAAGGACACAGTGCATCCTACCTGGTTGGCAAGGAAGTAGCATATGGAATATGCAGTACAACCTAACTGGTCACTTTAGTCTCCTACAGCATAAACAGGTTTTAGTCCTGTTCAGCAAATGCCTTTGTGTTCTCTCTCTGAACAACTCACCAGGTGTGGGGACTGGGGACTGGTGGACTAAGATTGATGATTATGTTACTGCAAAGTTGAACGTGTGTCCTACTGGGGGTGTCCACCAAACTCCTTTTGTTTGAAACGAGACCTGCCACACACCAGAACATACTCATTTATCTCCTTTGAGCATGCTGATGAAAACACGGTAATCTTAATGCATATCCTTTAGGCAGAGATCTGTCAAAATCAGATGCAACTTTTCCTTATTCCCATACAGAGCAGACAAAAGCAAACTTTGGTCCCAATCTGTGAGAAGTCCTGACTCTCTGCAGGGACAGTATCACAGTATCACAGTATGTTAGAGATTGGAAGGGACCTCAAAAGATCATCTAGTCCAATCCCCCTGCCGGAGCAGGAACACCTAGATAAGGTTACACAGGAACGTGTCCAGGCGGGTCTTGAATGTCTCCAGAGAAGGAGACTCCACAACCTCCCTGGGCAGCCTGTTCCAGTGTTCCGTCACCCTCACTGAGAAGAAGTTTCTTCTCAAGTTTAAGTGGAACCTCTTGTGTTCCAGTTTGTACCCATTTCCCCTTGTCCTATCATTGTTTGCCACCGAGAAGAGCCTGGCTCCATCCTCGTGACACTCCCCCTTTATATATTTATATACACTAATAAGGTCACCCCTCAGTCTCCTCCAAACTATAGAGACCCAGCTCCCTCAGTCTTTCCTCATAAGGGAGATGCTCCACTCCCTTAATCATCTTAGTTGCCCTGCGCTGGACTCTCTCCAGCAGGTCCCTGTCCTTCTTAAACTGAGGGGCCCAGAACTGGACACAATATTCCAGATGAGGTCTCACCAGGGCTGAGTAGAGGGGAAGGAGAACCTCTCTTGACCTACTAACCACCCCCCTTCTAATACAACCCAGGATGCCATTGGCCTTCTTGGCCACAAGGGCACAGTGTCGGCTCATGGTCACCCTGTCGTCCACCAGGACCCCCAGGTCCCTCTTCCCTACACTGCTCTCTAACAGGTCGTTCCCCAGTCTATACTGGAACCTGGAGTTGTTCCTGCCCAGATGCAGGACTCTACACTTTCCCTTGTTATATTTCATCAAGTTATTCCCCGCCCAGCTCTCCAGCCTGTCCAGGTCTCGCTGGATGGCAGCACAGCCTTCTGGCGTGTCGGCCACTCCTCCCAGCTTAGTGTCATCAGCAAACTTGCTGACAGTACACTCAATTCCCTCATCTAAATCGTTGATGAATATATTAAATAATACTGGTCCCAGTACCGACCCTTGAGGCACTCCACTAAATACAGGCCTCCAACTAGACTCCGCCCCATAGACTACAACTCTCTGGCTTCTCTCCTTCAGCCAGTTCACAGTCCACCTCACTACCCGATCATCCAGAACACACTTCCTCAATTTAGCCGCAAGGATGCTGTGGGAGACTGTGTCAAATGCTTTGCTGAACTCAAGGTAGACCACATCCACCGCTCTGCCATCATCCATCCACAGTGTTATTTCCTCATAAAAGGCTACGAGATTGGTCAAGCATGACTTCCCCTTGGTGAAGCCATGTTGACTGCTCCTCATAACCCTCTTATCCTTGATATGCCTTCAGATGGCACCAAGGATAAGGTGTTCCATCACTTTCCCAGGAATGGAGGTGAGGCTGACTGGTCTATAGTTACCCGGGTCCTCCTTCTTGCCCTTTTTGAAGACGGGAGTGACATTTGCTTTCCTCCAGTCCTCAGGCACCTCTCCTGTTTCCCAAGACTTGGTAAAGATGATGGAGAGCGGTCTAGCAATGACCTCCGCCAGTTCCCTCAGCACCCGTGGGTGCATCCCATCTGGACCCATGGATTTATGGATGTCCAGATTGCTCATCTGGTCTTTAACCCATTCCTCATCGACTAAGGCAGACCGCTCCGTTGACCTGTCTTCAGTATGCTTGGTTTGAAAAACATACAACCAAACTGTTGTTGTTTAGAACTAAAAGACTGTGATGGAGACAACCCTTGCTGGCCTGTACCAACAGTTATGTTGGTGCAGGGCCTGGAATAGGAGCCTGAGTAGGATAAGTACATGAAATGGTGTGATGATGGCAATAAAGTAAACACACACACACAGAGCAAACCAACCCTACATCTTGTAGAAGGTGGTTTAATTTTCTTCAAAGTAAAGATGTTGCACCTCAGGCAACTCATTAAACAATTTCTTGTGTCTGAATAAAAATGTAATGTGTATGAAAATTACTGTCTGAACTTGAGAGAAAGAAAGATCAGCCAGCACCCATGTGGGGCTCAGCTGGGAAAATATATTTTACTTGAAGCTATTTTTATTTCTCTTAGTTGTGTTAGGCAACCAGCCATATTGTATCACACTGTCACAGCAAACAAAAAAAACAAAACACTGCTGCCTAGAAAAAAATTGCTGCCTAGAATTAGGTATACTGACTAGTAAAAGCATTAATCCGTTTTGAATAGTGATTGCATTTGGAAAATATTTTAGGAAAGATTGTATTTTTTGCCTCTTGTTTCACTGCTTTGATGTATTCTCAGTGTTTTGGGCTTTTGAGGGGTTCAGATCTAGTCCTTCGAGTTCAGTTTTGCTGTTTGTAAATTTTCATAAGATAGTGAGAATAAATGATTTTTCATAGCTTGAGTCATTCATAGATTGTTCACTTTTGCAGCTCATTACTGGACATTTGCCCACATGGCATGTTTCTAGTGTCTGATCAGGCAAACAAAAATCTTACATGGCAAAAATGGTGAACTTGTGAAAATGGCTCTGACAAAAGCATACTAACTAATACAATCTGAGAACTGATTTCTTGTGGTTTTTCTGATTTGAAGATATTTTCAGGAACACTCAGCCATTCAATTATTTAAGATACAGTGAGAAATATCAGCTGGATGATACAAAATTAATTAGAATTTGAGCTGATTAATTACAAACTTTTTTATGAATATGTTTGGACTGAGGGGAGAGTCCTGATTTTTAAACAGTCCTATTCACTTTGCCTTTCCTCCTGATAAGCAGACATGTACACAAAGCCACAGAATTCTGTTTTCTCCATGTCTGTTACACTGCTGAGATATCTAGCACTCATGTCATTTAGTTTTAAAAGCTATTAATGCACTTGGTAAAGATGAAAAACAAAATATGAAATCTTGTCAAGCCCACTGAAAGCTGTAGTCAGTCTTTTTTTAGCAAATGTTTTTCAGAAACGCAATTTTGTCTGTGATAAATGCACTTTTCCAAGTGTAGCACTGTAGATTTAGTACTTAGAAAAATCTGTTGACAGCCACTGGATTCTGAACTCTTTATTTATCTGCAAACTTCTGGAGTTGACACAGAGACAACATAAACTTTTCAACCCCGTCAGAGTTGTTTGTCCTTGAACTAGTCAGACAGTTTGTAGATTTGAGAGTACACTTCCTTTTCGACATCCACTCAACTGTCAGCCTTTCTGCTGAGCGCAGCGACAAGGGCTTGAAAGCGTGTCAAGCTATGATTGGGTATTAAATATTTAGCACTGTGGGCTTGGATCTTTAGTTCCCATATGGCAACTGCGTGTTTAGGCTATAGAGTGTTCTTTGACCCAAAAAGCAGGTGCTGGTTGTTCTTAATAAAAGGAATGATTCTACCAAGTTAAGTCTGGAAACACTGACCTCACAACCACCAGCAGCCCTGGGCATCCCCACTGGTTTCTCACCCAGCATGTCCAGTGTGATCTCTGATTTCAGCTCCTGACAGTGAGAGTGCTGCAGCCAAAAGAGACACCCAGCATTTGGCAAAATCTTTGCAACCAAAGACTTGCAAAGTCTGGTGTCACACAGGATACCTCATAATGTCCCACTGAGTACAGTTCTTCTCTAATATAAGTTTATCACAGCAACTGTGGTGTATCTTACTCTATCTTTCTTCCCAGTCATATTCTCCCATAATTTGAAGACTGCACCTCATGCATCCCGTTTGTAAGGAACATAAAATTCATACTCACACTTAGGAGAACATTATCTAAGTTTTCCCTTAATTTTAATTTGAGTAAGCTTTAATTCAACTATGAAAGGACCTTAACAGCTTTATGGAATATAGAAATTTGTTGTTATTGGGCTTTGAATTACAACATAATGAATTTCATTTTGTTTTTACAATGAGATTTTTAAAAGGCAAGCCCTTCGATCCTTGGGAAAAACTCCAAATTTCAATTGTTATATTATTATTATTGTTATTTGAAATAGACTTTAGTAATCAAGAGGCCAGTTGAGAAGAATAACAAGTCTCAATTTGCTAGGTTTCCTATGGTTACTCAAACCAAACACAGAATCAAGACCTTTTACATTGCAACTTTTAAAAATATTAGTTGCAATTCAAACTGTGCCGTAAGTTAGGCAGCACTTGTCTAATCAGATCTCTCTGTATTTGTGATAATATTGCCCCACAGCTATTGATCCCTAAGCAGATACTACAACTCCCTTTAAACCAAAAGCACACATTGCAAAGGCCTTTTGAAAATCAAGGCTTCCCCTCAGAATAAGGTTGAGTCCGAAAAATTCCACATAAGCAAACAGCAGGGAGTATCTTTCTCATATGTTAATTGAGAACAATGTTAGTATGTTATAGTACTCTTATAATAATGCAATATACTCAAATTATTAAAATATTATGAACTATTAAAGCCCTGACACTGACTTTGTGTATGTATCCTTTGTCTGCCAGCCGGTATTGTTGAAATGCTGTGAAACGGTCACATTATTATGTGATAATAGAAAAGTTTGAAAGCCTTGTTACATCCTGATTCTTTTTGTCCAGGATGTGTATTACCTACTATCACATTAATAAGGAGGGGTAATACAGTGCAATATACACTGTAGTGTTATGAAATGTGAATACATCTCCCTTGGAGAAAACGGGGAAGATCATTTGCAAACACAACCGTTTCTGGGGTCACTGCTCCTGGCTATGGCCCCAGAAGCCTTCTGGTAAATCTGGCTTCAGAATTCAAACTTTCAGCTATGTCAAGAGGTATCAAATGAAAGTGCATTTATTTGGCTCCTTGGATGTGCTGTATATTCCATTGTCTGATAACTCACTAACAAATTCAGATCTTGTATTTTTAGAGAGATGGAGGAAAATAACAGGCCTCAAAGGAGCTACCTTTCAGAACAAGCATGTTTTTCTCAGTGTTTTCTTGGAGAAGGAAACAAGGAAATTAAAATAGAAGCAGATGGCATTTTATTTCAGAAAATCGTCTCAGAATAATGTCATCTAAAAACCCAATAACTCAGGTAACTTGCCTGCTGCAGACTTTATGTTTGCTGTTAGGCTCATGTGCTCCTCTGCATTTCTCTGTGAAAGGTTTGAGAGAAAGGAAGTCTAATAATCAGTTGCAACAAATATTTTTCTGCTGTTTCTCATTTAAATCTTGTTGACAGAGATCTAGAGATCTTCTTTGACACTCCAGACAGCTTCTGGAGGAAATAAAATACCATAAACAGAGATGGATGGTAGTATTGATCGTTATGGTGATGAAAATTAGGATACTGAAATGCCAGATATACTGAAATGCCAAAATTTTGATTGACTTTAAAAAAACAAATTCCGGGGCTTTAAAACTTTTCAACTCAATCACATAAAAAGGTCAACAGAATTTAGCTGCTCTTTAAAGAAAGACAAAGGACAAAAAATATCAATGGGTTTTTTATACCTCCACAAGATTCAGCCTTTAAAAATACACATCTTGCTTAATATTAGGCAGTGATATCATACTTTTGTAAGCTGTTTGACATGCACAACTGGATTTAAAGTTGATCTTTGCGTGTGTGATTTTTCTATGTGTCATCTCTACCTTCTATTCACCCATAACCTGGTCCCTCTAAAGCTGGGGCATGGGGCTGCCCCTCACTGCAAGAAGCAGAGAGGGAGGAGAAGGGCTGCTGCAGGAAGGAGGTCCCATAAAATCACCACCAGCACTTCCCTTATGGCAACAGCCAGTTGGTTTTGCAGAGCTTAAGGATAGATGAAAGGGGCAGATGGTCCGTGGCTGTTTGGCTACACTAGGACTACCTACTCTGCCTATAGTTGGAGTCGTCCATGCTAGTAAATGGGGAGTCCAGATAGTTTGCTGCATGGTTCTGCTAGTTCATGCATACATCACCTCAATACTTTGTGAAAAACAAATATTCCACTTTCTTTAAGGTTTCTATTGTTGTGCTGCTTACACTGCAGAAGCTGTTGAGACTATAGAGAAACAAGCTAAGAAACTTCAGCTCAGGAAACAACCAGAACAACCTGAGGTAATAGTAATTTGTTATCCAAAACCAGCACTGGTGAATACTGATGTGCTAAGGTACACAGTTTTTTAAGACAAGATCTATTTTGCCTATTAACATTAGAAAAAATCTGGAGGAAAAAAAAAAAAACAACTACAACAAAACCCCAACAACAAAAAAAACCAAGAGAATCTTAATATTCCTTTAATAATCTGTACTTCCCTATGACAATAATACACAGATAGAAACAGCACATCAATGATGGTAAAAAAACCCTTAACATTGTCATTAAACATCCAGTGCAAACTAAAACCCAGCAAATTTATTAACAATAAGCCCTATTCAGTGTGATAGTTCCAGTAACATATTTAGTGAATTGTATGTCTGATAATTCTGAAAAACACCTCCATATGAGACAAGAATAAAAGACTTGACAGAAAGTACACAGTTTACAGCAAAGCTTTTACAGAAGAATAGATGCTTTTATACTTGCCTGGAATTGTCTCAGCAGCAAACCTTGCTAAAATGCTATAATGCTGTTTGCTAAGACTGGGTGTGGTTTACATAATGATATAACCTAATTTCTGGATTTCCCACTCTGCTTATGGTGCCATAACAATAGCCAATTGTCTGCCTTCACAGTCACTGAAGTATCAAAATTTCTCGAATCTATCACTGCTCTTTATCCTCCTTGGGTGTAACTGTGCAATGGAAGACTGCCTCACATGCTTAGTAGAATCTTGCTGGGGTCCCATCACCCCAAAGTGATTAATCACCATTGTGTGTGCATTCAGTCAAGAGCCCATTTATCATGGTTAGGTATTTGTAATGACATGTTTTACATATACCTAGTGTTAGAGACTATAAAATAAGTTTAAGATACATTTCACCACATCAGAGTCAAAAAAAGAGAAGAAATGGGAGACTTTTCCGAACTCATAGAAGCAAGGAGTTATTAATTAGCTAGTCAAGGACTTTGCTCTAGCAAGAGACATTTGCATCTCCAAGGAGCTGAATGAAAAACACTTATTTTAATTGAGAAGAATGATCAGATGTTCTCTTAAATAATGAAGCAAAAGAATAAATTTCAGGAAGAAAGATTATATCTGTCTGGGGTCCTTAGAATATTTCAAAGGAGAAATTTCTTAGAAGAGATAAAACTTGGTCCCAAGGGAGGAAAAAGTAAGTATATGCCATAGGACTAACTCAGTCCTCAGGGTATGCTGCAGGCCGGCTTTCCTGGGTATGCTGTGGCCATGTTACAGTTCTGTGTTAGGAGACTCAGGTACCAGCCTGCTCCCCTTTGGAGCTGTGGGGATGATTAAGTACTTTCTAGGGGCAGGCCAAAGAAAAGGCAATAGCATCACAGGCATTAGCATTTACATGTCTACGATCATGTAAAATCACCAGGCATCAGCCTCTTCTGAGCAAATGAATCATTTGTGTGATAATAAATACCGCCAGGGTGAGAAAAAGCCTCCTTCCAGAACAGTAGTCATCAGCCCCATTCCTCCTGTCCCCACAAGCAGGAGAAGCAGCATGCCCAAACCCCAGATCTGTCTTGCTGTTGCTGCTCAGGCTATACCTGACTTCCACAGAGGAAGAAATCAGGCTCTGTTCGCTCAGCCTTGGGATGTCAAAATTAACGTCTGCCTGCTCAACTAATGAGCCTTGGGCTGATGATTTGAAATGTATCAAGCATCCCTAGTTTCTCATTAAAAAGTCTGCTTTTGCAGATCTCAAACCATTTATGCAGCGCTTGTCTGAATTTCCTTCAGTTTTTCACTGTGCTTTTGAAGCACAAGCAGTGTTCCAGTAGCAGCATCACTAATTCTGACGACAGGGTCATTACTGCCCCTCTGTCTGTCCTCTGCCCATATAACCAAAGAGATTTTGCCTTCATCTTAAAAGAGGATTAACACCATTTTTTTGGTATCAGACGGCAATCATGCTTATTTTGCTAATTTATTGATGCATCACTTTCTCAAGGGATGTATCCCACCTCAATCTGGGATAAGGCTGTATACTATTTAAGAAGTCCTTTGTATTTGTTTTGTTCTTTGGGGGAAGCTAATTCTGCAAATCCCTTCTACCAGAAAGACAGAGAAGCTGCTCGCAGAGGGAAGACCAAAGCAGTGTAAAGGCTTAGCATCTTCAAAGTGGGACTGATTAGTTCCACAACACCTATATCTGTTACAGATATTGTTAGAGAGTCCAATAGAACAGCATCTCAGCCACTCTAGTGCTGCTTGCTGACTGCAATATGGTCAAATTGCATCCCACCTAAGTAAAAATACAACCATACATAGTGGGGGCAAAAGCAAGAGCTGTGACAGGAAATCTCTTTATTTGAAACTAAATAGCTAAGAGAGAGGATACCAGGACTTAGAGCTTGAGAATATGTAGATTGGTTCTTCAGGTTAAGATCAATAAAGCAGGTACACAGAAAACAGTGTTGCCTGTGGAGATCTTGGTATCAGTTCCAGTGCTTCCTCTGAAAGGTGAAAGGCTGCTCAGAATATCTCAGGAGTCAAAAGCAAAGAAAAGTTAACAAAGCAGGGGAGAGGACAGAGATAGTTAAAAGCAATTAGGATCTTCCCCACTATTCAGGAACTCAACAGAAGTTTCTTGGAACACAGCAAAACTCCCAGCAGGAACTTCTCTTTTCTGCCTGAGAACAGATTTCTAACAACTTGAATAGTTCTCTAAAGGTGGCTTCACAAGGTCAGAGGAATAGAAGATAACTCTAAGTAGAGCCCTGATGTTATGTCTTACCTTTACTTACTGTACTTTGTGCTCAGGCATTGTCTTCCCAAAATGTTGCATGACGACCCCAGAAGAGCAGCCTTGAAGACTCTAGGAGGGACGCGTATTTGGAGCTCTTCTGACACATGCTGAATTCAGCATCTGTAGATAGCATTTTTTTTTCCCCAGCTAATTATCCATGGATTCCAAATTTAATCACCAGCAAATATTTTCAGATTCTGATTAGCTTTTCTTCAAAACAATTTAATTTAGAAATGAGCCTAAGCACATGCCCCTGGGGCCTGGGTAGGTATTCTCCTACAGAACTGGTTTAAGAATAACCTCACCTCATTGGTGATTTAAGCTGACCCAGATGGCTTTCTGCTGAAATAAGTGGCATCTTGACTTTAGGGGAGTCAACTTTAGCACAGGGCAGTATATCCTACATTGCTTAAAAAAATCTCCAAGTAAATGCTTCACTGAGTGCTCTGACACCAGCCATAGCCTTTTCACAGTCAGCCACTCTTAAAAGGAAAAATCAAAGTAAAAAAAAAAAAGAAAGAAAAAAAGAAAAGAAACAAAACCATTAAAAAAACAAACAAACAAAAAACAATCCACATCACTGAAAAGTCTGATGTCTGGATCCAGAAACAAAGGACTTGAGGATCAGAAGAACACACAGGATCAGATAATTCAGTAATTGAAAATCCCTACTTGTAAAATATTTGGCCTGAAAAGTGGGTTCCTCAAAACCGTATTTTAATCTCTCTAAATCTGGTTTATATCTCCACTGCCTTTATTAATGATGCTATAAATATTACCAACTTAAGCTATAAACTTGGTTTGTTCCAGGGAAACTGACACACAAAAGCTCCCGCTTCTTTAAATCAGAAAGAGGATTGGGCCATTTATATCTCTGTAGACATAATTCTATAGAGATGTGTATGGAATTAGCTAGGTAAAAGGGGAACAGATTGATTTAGGATGCCAGTTGCTCTTCATAGTTTACGTTAAGTGAGAGTTAACATAGCAAATGGAGTTGACATCACATTTCCAGTTCACTTCATTGCTCTTCCTTACACACTTGCAGAAGATTTGTATGTCAGACAGGATGCCAGAAATAGTGGTTAAAAGGGTGTATAAGGAATCTCACTCTCTCCCCCACAAACAGTCAAACAAAACAGCAGTCCAGGTTGTAGTCCTACAAGGGACTTTCTAGGAATAGGCACTATGTGATGCCCTTTTACCTTTCTTGAGTCCCCTGATGCTGTGGTCCAAATGATCATGAAGGTTTGTGTTGCCCACCCCAGTATATGCACTTGGGAGGCAATGTAAGTCATCCCCAAAGAGAAAGCATAACTATTCATTCACCTCCTCTGTAGGTGAAAGAGGAACACCACCTCTTTGTATAGGCTGTTCAGCCTCCAAGCCGTAGATGCCTATAGCTGTGGTGATTATTTCTAAGGGTTTCACAAAAAGATA